ATGTCCTGTGGCTTTAAGGTGTTGGACCAGGGAAGAAGTTGGTTCCTCTTTTCTGACTGAGTTCTTGTGTTCTTCAATGCGTGCATTTATTCTTCTGTTGGTTTGTCCGATGTATGTGGTGGGGCAGGCGGTGCATGGGATTTCATATACTCCTTGATTTTCTAACTCAATTTTGTCTTTGGGGTTTCTTAGGATGGTGAATGCTGGTTCACCTGGCTAAGAAACAGAATTGGACACCTCTGGACAGGGGAAACCTCTATCTTTAGATAATAGCCAAAGAACACCATGCTTCAAGACATTTTATTCTTTATTTATTTCTAATGTAGCATTTTTTCAATATAAATCATGCGTATTTTCATGCTATTCTGCTTTTGTGTGTGTTATGTGTTGAGAGGAATTTCCCCTTTCGGTTCTTCCAGCCTGGATTTCCTTGACGGCGCAACGTAGAAGAAATAGGTCGTGAAGCCAGCTACCGGAAAGAGAGGTTTAATCTCGAGGATCAAAATTTTAAGTGACAATTCAGCTTGAATCCCCGGCTAGCTAGGCAGAATGGTTCTAAAACAAGGGTTTTTATACCCTTTCGTGGTTTCCAAACTTGTCTTTTCTGATTGGTAAGTTTGGATCTATCTTTTCTGATTTGCTAGTCAGTGGCTTTTATTGGGTAAATCTCCTTCCTAATCCTGCCTGAAAGGTGCTTAATGGCTTTATTGTTGTGTGTGATAGCCGTATTGTTGTGTGAATAGCCCTAATTGCTGCTAGCCAGCTTCCCATTTAGTGTAAGTTAAGTGGTTGCCATTTAGCCTCAGGCTGCTGCTGAATCATGCTGAGGTGAGGAGGGGGTTTCCAGCTTTCTTCAATTCCCCCATTTTGGGCTATCTCTGGGGTTCCAGTGATAAGCCCAACTGGTTCATATATACGGTAGTGGTGATCAATCTGGCACATCATGAGGGAGGTTTTCTTGCTCTGTTTTTTGTCTCTGATTAGGGTTGTGCTGATCTTTAGGCATTTTAACCCTAAAGGAGCTATTTGGCATACAAAGGAGGGCTCCGCCTACTACGACTGTGATTATGCTTCCAACTAGAATTCTTACCCAGTGGAAGTCTGGTAACCATGAGAAGAGCCAAGAAAGATCCCAGGGTGATTGATCATGTCCAATGTTTTGTGCTAGTTCTTTTAAATGTTTGATATCTCGTTCAAT